ATGATTTTACGTATACCTATTTCGACCGAAAAGTGTTTTTGACACCGTTTTGTTTGAATGCAAATAATTGCCAAAGCTGTTGGGATTTCAAATCATCAGTTCAATGTAGATAATTTGAGGAATATATTTATAGATACATTGATGTACTTTTATTATTTAATCAGGTTGTAAATTCTAACTTAATTCATCAATCTACAAAATATAAATATAGCGTTGTACACTATAACAAAACATGGCGGGAAATAAGTAAATATCAAAATTATGCCGTAACTTTTGTATTTTCCTTTATAACTGAAATCGGGATTTTCTAATCTGATTATAATCGATATGATGCTGCAAAATAGTGTTGATATTTATATATAAAATGGTCTAAAATCAGACACTGTCATGAAATTATTAAGGTGTCAAAAGACACTTCATAGTAGAAGTAAGTATATAAGTAGAAATAAAATGATATAGCTGAATTAATTTAACAACTATTGTATTGAAAAGTCAAAGAGTCAATAGTGGGGAAATGATTCAACTAATAAAACAATTTTAAGTTAAAATTTGACAAGTGTCTTTTGATATTACTTGGTAGAAATAGTGTGTAGATGGTTGGACTGTGGCACTAGCAGTTACTTAGGGCCTAGGTGGTGGGCCTGTCCCGGACTGTATGGGGGTGACGGACAGACCACTTTGACCGGGGTCACGTGTGCCTTTTGTGAAAGAGCTTTCCTTATTCTGCACCGGTTGAGGGAAAGCCAGTCTGTCACCGTTCCTCGTTCGAGAGATAACTTTTAAAATATAGATACCTCCTGACTATAAAGACTTAGTTGTTATTCAGAAACCTCCCTACAAGTGTTAAGTTTCAATTTTTAATGCCACATTTTGCAATAATTTCAATTAGGAAATTATGTCTTTCTATTTTTGGAATAATTTCATTTCTGGTAGCCTAATAATTTACTTATTATATTACTCCGATGTTTCCCGCTAAAGGACACGGTAGTTTGTTGCGCTGTAAAATCGCGCTTGTATAAAGTTCGTCGTTAAAATAGTGAGTCGGTTCGTTGGTTTGACACCAACAAAGTCTCTTGCCACCCCCTCAACTTGCTGTCTCGGCCAGGTCTTTCTTGTCTCGCTCCCAAGCCGCGACTATAAATCTCGAAAGTTTAAAAGTCATCGTCGGTCGTGAGGCATGCAACTACGGAAGGCAAAAGTTGCTTGGCGAAGCACGGCAGCTGCGCCACTCTGTTGTAACGTTAAGTGCATAATAATTAATGAGATAAAGTTGAAACGACAGCGGCGTTGATAATTTTGTTTCCTATTTGTGTTCATTATCCGGTATCGTTCGGTATAATGGCCCAGAACACCGCGACACCGAAGCTTCGGTAATTTTGTTTTTCGCGGTTTAGCCTTTGGCTTTGGTGTTCGCTGTGCGGCTATTATTCGATCGGCGCGAGTGTTAATTAACGATTTGCTCTCTAAACACCCGCATTTTCGAGAAATCCCTCTTAAAATCATTATTATCTTTATTGCCCCATGAAATTGGTAAATATTCACAGATTTATATTTTTACCGTCGTTTCTTTCGTTCCCATTTTCTTATATTTTTACTGTCCTGACAATTGTTTCTTCCTCTTTTTGTGTCTACACAATTCTGACAATTTTTTCTTTCCCTTTTTATGTTTATACAATCTTACAATTCTTTTTTTCTCTTTTTATGTCTATACAATTCTGACAATTCTTTCTTTTCCTTTTTATGTTTATACAATCTGACAATTCTTTCTTTTCCATGTTGCACTCTTACAATCGTGAAAGTTCTTTCTTTTCCACTTCATGTTGTTACGGTCGTAATTTTTCTTTATCCATTTTTATGCAGATTTTCTGTCCACTATTTCTCCAGCGGTAATTTATGTGTATTAAAATGCAATATTCATTTTCTAAAATATTTTATATACGGAATTCTAATTATTTTCCTTTTTCTTCTTTATTCCGTTAAAGAAATAAGAATATTTTGAAAACATTAAACTTTGAACTACTTGTTCTAATTAAGATGGAAGACCGATTAATTATGCTAAAAGTAAAATGTTCATTATATCAAAAACAAACTTCACGAATTTCGTTCCAACTATGTATATACAATCCATAATTTAATGTTTGCCTTTTTTATAATGAGCTTTAAAATCGGATATCCTTTTGATAGCTTGTTTTAAAGCTCTAATGCATACTCACAATGACAATGTCTCTATCTTTATGTAGATTAAACTATAATCTTTTTTTTCCAGAAGTTAACAGATTTAGCTCTTATATAAAATAGGTGAACAAAATATCACAATAGAAATATTAATAATAATACAATTATATGATCTATTTATATAAATATTCTCAATAATTATTTCGTACTTCGTACTTCAAAGTACAAATTATTTGGTACTTCAAAGAATTAAATTAAATGTAAATAGCATAGTGAATCCTCTTCTCTAAAAGCAAATGAAGTTTTTCATTTCTAATATTCGTATTCCGAACGTTTAATTATTCCGTATAGAAATATTTTTAATTTCGGTAATTTCAGTTTTACTTTATTTTGGTCGAATATATTCGCTATCACCAAAAAATAATTAAGTATACAGGTGTACATTTTCAAAGAATCAAATAAAGTACCTAAAAAATTAAATGCAACAACAGATTAAACCTTTAAATTTTACGTTTTTATATTAATTATTTTTGGACTGATAGTGAAAAAATAAAGATTTTAATTAGAATAAGGCACGATGTTTTTTTATTTTTATTATATTTTATAAAAACATATTGTGATACTCCAGTTGTCTAAAAAAATGTTTTAATCAAATTCATCGAAATGTTGTTTTTTTTCAAAATTAAATTGAACAGGGCAAGTCAATTTTATTACATTCTTTTATAAATTTTATATAACTCTTTTAATCAAACTATTTTCTGTATACACTTCTATAACGTATACTATTCTATCGTACTCTTTTCCTATGATTTTATTTAGGTACACTTTTTCACATCTTATTTCAATTTTCATTATATAAGAATCTAAATTATCATTGTTTAACATATTTATTTTTACCTAAATTCTGTACTGATTTTACTTTAGTAGACCATTCCTTTTATCGGAGGCAAGGTTCCAAGATATTATTTGCATCGCATTTCGTTTGCTGGTCTCCGCTTCCTTCAAAATACCAATTCAGTTGTCAATTTCCGTCCCATCATCAATATCTGCATAAGGGTCTGTAGTATATTTTAAAATATTTAACTTGTTAATTTCGACCACGGTCTACCCTATTCAATTCCCTGGGTGTTATTCAGCGTATGACGAGCGGTACTAGAAATAATAATTGGAGACGAAGCGATGGTTCAACTTGTTACGAGCTCGTCACTGAATACAGGCAGAAACATGGTTCAGATGAGACACATTTGCTTCAATTTTTTTTTTTCCATTTCGTGCCGCTGTACTCAGATCGAACGCTTAAGCGCTTTCATCGTCCTCGTAATGAGATCTGCGCGTGAGCGCACAGACCTCTTAAAACGAATATCGTTACAAGCCGATTTCGAGTACGCTTGGCTAGATAAAAATGTTTGTTAATCCGACGACTTTATAAGCATGTATCATGCTTTCGAGTATTCGTCCTGCGTGTGCGTAGTATCAAAATTCATATTCATTTAAAATAAATACCTTTTTGAAATACTATTTCGGTTCGCTACTTTGAGTATCAGAAATTTTAATTGTTTTGAGCATCGAATTTGACTAGTTTGTCAACTAAATGACAGACTACTTGTTCGCTGATTATTTTTATTTTTATGAAGAAAACGTGCTTTACAGTAATCGGTCTCATCTTTAGAAACTTTTTTATACTAACGTCTCAAGTGAAATTCATAATTCATCCCCAAACCACGAAAGCAATTTCAATTCCCACATCAACAATACATTTTTTTATTCTTGTATTGAATTAAGAAAGGTAGAATCGTTTGCAGTTTCATTTTTCATTACTTTCAGTTTCGTACAATCATACTCTATGATATAAAATCATAACGTAACGGTGTTACGCGTAGCGCTGTTATGGTTAGGTTAGGTTAGGTTAGGTTACATCTGTCACGGTCATATTGTGCTCAATAGTATAAAATCATAGCGTAATGTTGTCACGCCTAACGCAAACCTCTACATTCCACAGTCCACGGTCCACCCACCATGTCAATTTAGCAGCGCATTCACACGAAATAGGCGCGAAGTGCATTGGGGGGTTGGGCTACGAAGCGGCCGGGGGGCACAGCCCCCTAGTATCTTTTAATGAACATAGTAATGTTAGTGTCAAAACATATTGGATTAGTTATGTTTTTTTTTTAATTAAATTACGTCTAGAAATAAAATAATAATGTTTTAAGATGAAATAGTTATGAAGTAATATTTTATTTTAAAATATAAATAATTATAATGTGACATTTTGCTGTACAATGCAAATAATTATAAAGTAATATTTTACTCCCAAATATAAATAATTATGAAGTAATATTTTACTTCATAATGCAAATAATTGTCAAGTAATCTGTCCAGACTTATTATCAATAATTTCTCGACATTTTTCTCGCAAATTTCGTATAACCAGGGATTGAAACAATGTCAGAAATAACTGTGTTAATTCATTCAATAATTTGTATCATTTCAATGTATTTTTCTTGAAATGCATCGATTTTTATGTAATTATTTATCTAGTTTACATATTATCCATCATTTATTTACTTTAATAATTTAGTGTCAATGTAAATATAAGTGTTCATTAAATGTTCATACATCTAAGGTTAATACTACTAGAAAGATCAACTATCTGACTATACATAACAGTATTACACCTTTTTTTACAGTTTCATGTCAATCTATATTCATTGTATGCCGATGTGTTGATTAAAACAACAGTATATGCTATTTTAAACATATACGCATAATTTATTAAAATTTTGTAGAAACCGTTTTTGTCATAAAATTCTGTTGGTATGTTTTAGCATAATGAACAATAATAGTGTGGAACAACCGGATCCTGACAACATAAAAATGTTCGTGGGTCAGGTGCCACATGACATGGATGAAAATGACCTAAGGAAACTGTTCGAAGAGTTTGGCCGTGTGCATCAGATAAACATCTTACGGGATAAGATCACCGGAAGTCATAGAGGTAAGTGTTGAAACGGCAATAACCTCGCTTTATGTATTCATGAATCACCTATTCTCGTGGTGACTATTAAACAACTGCTTCGAGATAGTCGATAAACCGATACAACGACGCAGTATCTACAAACTAGATACTAGCCTTGGGTGCAATAAGAAATATTATTCATAATGTAAAAGTTTTAGTAAGTTTCATACAGAGTATGAGTTTCAAAATTTGTTAAATCATAAATTCATAAGTCATATACTTGTTGAATGATAAATTTTTAAGTATTCATTATTTTTTAATAAAATAATGACTTATTTGTGAATAACAAACATAATTTATTGTTTAATATTTACGTTAATAAATTTAACATTATGTTCAATCTGAGGAAGATTTATGAAACAATTCTCTGTGCAAAATCACTTTATAGTCGGCACGAGGTTGTGTAGAATATGTTTCGTATCAAGACTATATGTAAAATTCTATATTTAGAAATTTCGAAGAAAATGGTACTACTGTTTATTCTGAAGATCCTAAATATCTATATTTTTAAATTTCCAAATTTCTGGATTTACAAATTGTCAAATTCTTAAATTTAAATTAAAAAGTTTCTAGGTTTCGAAATTGTCAGATTTTTAAGTTCTTAATTCTGAAATTCAAAAGCTCTTAAATTTGCAAATTTCTAAATTTTTAAAATTGTCAAAATTGCAAATTGTGAAATTCCCAAATTTCTAGACTTCGAAATTTTCAAATTTCTAAATCTTAATTTACAATAATTTAGCCTATAATTTTTTAAACTTTTAAGTTCTTAAATTTTCTAATTCTCAAATTGCTAAGTTTTTAGATTCTGAAATTTTTTGATTCTAAAATTCTCAATTTTTCATATTTTAATATTCTTAAATTTCAAAATTTAGAAATTTTCAAATTGCCAAACTTCCAGATTTTCAAATAGTCAAATTTCCAAATTCTCAAATTGTCCAATTGCCAGATTTTTAAATTCTCAAATTTCTGGATTCCTGAATTTCCAAATTTTCTAATTTTTTTATTTAAGGTCTTCCAAATTACCAAATTTTCATATAGTTGTATTATCAAGTTTCCAAATTTCGAAAGTGCTAAATTCCTTGCATGACAATTTTCAAAATTTCAACTTCTCAAATTTCGACATACAATGAATACATATATGTATATTCATCATAATGTATAATCAATTATGTATACGTGTAACATTATATGTGTAACTTATACCCGTTTGCATGCTTCTACACATACATGTGTATTTTAAAAATATATTAACACTTTAACGACCGCTCACACAACACGTGTGTGATAGCCGGAACAACCGTTAACGACCGCTCACACAACATGTGTGTGATGCTACCGCCGAAGGTTGTTGTCCAGTGCCACACTTTCTGTGTGATAATTTATGAAAGTAAACAAGTGTGGATATTGCTATTGGCTTCGTATTTCATCGCTACGTCTTTGATTTTAGGTAATTATTGCCTATTTTTAATTTTACATTTTACACTACAGTGGTGTACCATGTAAATTATGGAGCAAATGTCGGCGCTCTACGAAATATTAAATTTGTTGTTAAATTGTTATCGTTTTTTGTTTTATGTTAACTTTTTCGTGAATTTAATAAAGTTCTTTTAAATTAATTCTTTAAAAATACTGCCGGCCCCTGGCGACGTTTGACTGCGTAGACGTGCGGTCGTTAAAGTGTTAATATTTACACGGGAAAATTTAATTTAACGTTCATTAATATTTTTTAATTTCCTCTTAAATATTAAATATGACATTTAATAATTAAATGATGTGTTTAATTTTTTCAAAATTCATCTTAACAGCTCTGAATTTTTATGCATTACTTAAATTTTTTATCTACACGTTTATAGTCAACACAAGAATCTTTTCGCCAACGTGAATATGTCCCCTAGGGAACCCTATCGACTTTCGTTCTGCACATACTGCACTTTATCGAAATGTTATATAGGGTGTATCCCGATACGATATTCATGAGTTTTGTCCCGCTTCTAATAATCTGTCAGAAACAGGTGATAAATATGATACATGATACATAAATACATTTACTATCGACAAATAAGGAGACACTGTTTCACACAAACTGATATTTTATTAATTAATTCATGTATTTACAGAGTAAGTCCTTTTATAGAAAAAAAAATATAATGCAGGAGAAAAAGGTTAAACATGTCTTACATATTTAGACCACTTAGAACAATGAGAATAGAAATTAAAGTTTAAATGAAAAAATAAAAATGATATAGAGAAGAAATATAATATAACATAATATAAGAATAACTTATGATCAAATTGCATGACTTCAACTTTTATTTTTATCGTTTCGAAAAATTTGTAATTGCTTACAACTTTTTATTTGAAAAAGTACCTTTTATATGAATAAATTATAATTCCTTTTTACTTACAAGTGATAGTAACTTTGTGTTCCAAAGAGTTAAAAGCAGTGAAAATTTTCTTCTGAAAGATAAAATACTCTTTTTTCGTACTTCTTCGTTTCAAGATCGTCTGATAATTACACGGGAAAATTTAATTTAACGTTCATTAATATTTTTTAATTTCCTCTTAAATATTAAATATGACATTTAATAATTAAATGATGTGTTTAATTTTTTCAAAATTCATCTTAACAGCTCTGAATTTTTATGCATTACTTAAATTTTTTATCTACACGTTTATAGTCAACACAAGAATCTTTTCGCCAACGTGAATATGTCCCCTAGGGAACCCTATCGACTTTCGTTCTGCACATACTGCACTTTATCGAAATGTTATATAGGGTGTATCCCGATACGATATTCATGAGTTTTGTCCCGCTTCTAATAATCTGTCAGAAACAGGTGATAAATATGATACATGATACATAAATACATTTACTATCGACAAATAAGGAGACACTGTTTCACACAAACTGATATTTTATTAATTAATTCATGTATTTACAGAGTAAGTCCTTTTATAGAAAAAAAAATATAATGCAGGAGAAAAAGGTTAAACATGTCTTACATATTTAGACCACTTAGAACAATGAGAATAGAAATTAAAGTTTAAATGAAAAAATAAAAATGATATAGAGAAGAAATATAATATAACATAATATAAGAATAACTTATGATCAAATTGCATGACTTCAACTTTTATTTTTATCGTTTCGAAAAATTTGTAATTGCTTACAACTTTTTATTTGAAAAAGTACCTTTTATATGAATAAATTATAATTCCTTTTTACTTACAAGTGATAGTAACTTTGTGTTCCAAAGAGTTAAAAGCAGTGAAAATTTTCTTCTGAAAGATAAAATACTCTTTTTTCGTACTTCTTCGTTTCAAGATCGTCTGATAAAATGACGTACAGTTATTCTAGTATTGTATGCATGTATCTACGCGTTGATTAAACGTGTATTTCGATTGAATCACGAGCACGTTGAATGAAGGCCGCGTTAATTTAATTACGTGATTCTTTTTACCATTCCGGCAATTAAACGCGTCGGAATATTGAATAACGAGCCGAATTTTCATTAACCCGCACGGGATACTTTAATCTTTTCGCACTTCTATTAACTACGCCGTTCTCGATAATCGGACAAAATTGAATTGTCCTGAAGCTTCTGTTTTTAAACCTTCCACCATCTAGAGTTCTTCATAGAAAAATTCTCCGTTGAATATTTTCTTTGATACGTTTAGTAGTATTCGTAGCTCTCAATTGGTGGGACACTAAATTGGAATACTAAACTTTGGAAATTGAACAACATACAAATATGAAAAAGTAGGGTTCGAAACTTTCAAACATTTGTGAGATAGAAAATTTGAAAATTTAAATGTTTTAAGTATTTGAAAATTCAAACTCTTAAATATTTGAGAATTTATACGTTTCGACATTTGAGAGTTTGGAAATTTTGAGACTTGGGAATTTGGGATTTGGGAAAATTGGAGTTTAGAAATTTAAAAATCTGCGAGTTTTGGAACTTAGGAATGTGGAGCTTTAGAATGTTAGTAATTTTAGAGTGTAGAACTTTAGAACTTTAGAATTTGAGAATTTAGGGATACGATAATTTGGGAATTCATAAGGCATAAGGCTAAATTCAGAAATGCGAGAGTTCAGATATTTGGAGGTTTGAGAACCGACCAATTTTGCAGTTTGGAAATTGTGTAATTTAAGAATTTATGGATTTAAATATTCGAAAATTTTGAAATTTAGTAATTTTGGGATTACGGAATTTAGGCATTTGGCAATTTAAGAATTAGTAAATTTGAAAATTTATTTATTCTTCTAGATCTGAAGGACAGTCGAAACTTAAAAATCTTATTTCAAAGACAAAATGTGTATGAGTTTAATTAATTGAAATGAACTAATTCTTTTAAAGTCTTATAATGTTAAGAACTGTAAGGAAGAAATACAGAAGGTCATTCGTATTTATTGTGAACTGGTTCTGCGATAATTCGATATAATTTAGGTGTTTGCATCAATATACTAGTGTTGAGAGGAGCCACTTTAACTCCTTCAGATATAGAGGAAATAATTTATGAAGTAATTGTTAGTTGAGGAAGTAATTTCTGATTTGGAGTACCTTGAGACCCAAAAGTTGTCTGCTTTATGTTTTTGAGAGGAACAACTTGAGAAAGAACTACATGGTAAACACATGCTTTATTTCTGAAGTCGAAAAATGCTAGGATCTGCTGTAGGTTGTAGAAGTATCTGACATTACACACGATTTGCAATTATTATTAATTACATTCACCTAGTGAATATTGTACTTATTGTATATTAGATAAAAAGAATATCAAAGAAAAGTACTTATCACTTTAATAACTTATCAACGCATTAATCAGTTCTTGGGACATGAAAAATGATTCTGTCAACACGTTACTCAAGGTACTTTTGTCTACCGTTGAATTAATCTGAATGTTATTTAAGTACATTCCCGTTAAGACAGAATAATTGTTAAAGAAAAAGCAACAGTAGCTGCGTGAATATTATTTTCTTA